GAGAGAGAAAGAGAGAGAGAAAGAGTGAAAGAAAGAGAGAGAAAGAGAGAGAAAGAGAGAGAGAGAGAAAGAGAGAAGGGGAGAGAGAGAAAGGGAGAAAGAGAAAAAAAGAGAAAGAGAGAGAAAGAGAGAGAGAAAGAGAGAGAGAGAGAGAGAAAGAGAGAGAGAGAAAGAGAAAAAGAGTGAAAGAAAGAGAGAGAAAGAGAGAGAGAAAGAGTGAAAGAAAGAGAGAGAAAGAGAGAGAAAGAGAAAGAAAGGGAGAGAGAGAAAGAAAGAGAAAGAGAGAGAGAGAAAGAGAGAGAAAGAAAGAGAGAGAAAAAGAGAGAGGAAAAGAGAGAGAAAGAAAGAGAGAGAAAGAGAGAGAGAGAGATGCTCGATTTTTAAAAAACAGCAAGAAATACCATTTTTAAGCATGAAATCCCGCCCTGAATCTCGTCCCCTCATCCATTTTTTCCATTCGGACTCAGAAGAAATTTGCCAAAGCCCAGGAAGGGGCTTTGGTGCCCTTAGGGGGCCCCTCTCTTCCCTCAGGATCTGCCAGGCACCTGGGCTTTGGCGCCTCTGTCCCCAATTTTGCTTGCCACTCAGTGCCACGCGTGGCTCAAAGAGTGGGATTCCAAGGCCCCGCAGAAGAGCTGGGCTCCAGTTATTTTTTCCCCCCAGCAGCCTGGCCCTTGATGGGTAGTGTAGTCCCGCATATCACGGGAGCCCCCAGGAAGGGCAAACTCAAAAGTTGCAAAAAACACTTCGGCTGTGCTAACACTGAGAGATCCCTGGCCTGCCGGCTTGCAAATCAGGGATGGGAACAGAATTTAAAGAGGTAGTGAACAATTAAAAAAGAAAAAAGAAAGAAAGATGAGCAGTTTGTTCCAAGTTTGAGGCAATTAACAAAGGTTGGATGCTTCCAAATGTAAACAACTAATAATTGACACCTTGCAAGTGGTAAATTCAGATGCTATTTTTAAATCCTCTTCCTCTCAAATGGTTCTAATTAAAGACCCAAAAGAGCTACATGCCAGGAAACCTGCTTCTCTCCCCCCCTTTTCTTTTCTTCATCTGTATTTTTATCTCCTGAAGATTTAAAGTGGGGAGCACACCCAGGCCTCCCTCGTGATGTTTTGCTGAGTTCCCCCCTTCCCGTCTCTTGGTCACCTTGTGGAGGTAGACCCTCCTTGGCCATTTGACCCCTGAGAAAAGAGGGGCTTGGGGGCTTTTCTTCTTGTTGGGAACAGAGGCAGAGAAGGTCAGTGGGATTCCCAGGATTTAAGGGCAGTCTTTATTTGTTTATTTGTCTGTCTTTTAAAGGAATTTAGGAAGTGAGGAGCTGAACAGGTTGAGCCTGACATTTAAAGCATCTCTCTCTCTCTCTCTCTCTCTCCCCCTCCCTCCCTCCCTCCCTCTCACACACTCTGCCCTCCAAAATGGCCACTCCAGACCCCTCCTCACTTAGCAAAACGCCGCCTGCCTTCAGAGAAGGGAGGCCAAAGCACAGCCTAACCAGACTGTCTCCAAAAAAAAAAGCAGATTTTAAACCCAGGGAGATTCAACCAGGGGAAGGTACAGAAGGATCACCTGCTCACCACAGGGTGAAATCCCACTCCCACCAAGAGATCCTGCAAGATTGCACAGACTGAAACACGCCACAGTGTGCGGCTTAGCTGGCCACAGAAATTCTGTCCCCCACCGCCACCCCTGAAGAGGAAATCTTGGCGATTCCAAATTGTGCCCATCCTGACCCGCTACAGCAACTGGTGGGGATGACGCTGAAATCAGCAAAAAAAGAACCTGTTATTTTGGCTTTTGTGCAAAACTGCTGTCTGAATGTTGCTGGAGCAATTTTCCTATATATGGATATGCTTAAATCTCCCCCCCTGGATACAAATCTAGATTCTGCGGTGTTTAATTTTTGCAGATGATTTTTCTCATCAGAGAATCCACTCCCTTTCCATTTGAGCTGGCGAAGAGATCTGTGCCAACAGGAAGCCTCCACATTTTTTTTCAGCCAGGGAGCCATGCAGGTGTCCAGATCGAAGGCAGCTGACCTCCCCATGCAGCAAATAAGGGAAAGAGGTCAATTTTGCAAGGTGAGGTGAGATGGGGGGGAGGAGGAGGCGGCTTCCCCTCCCATTTAGGCTGCTAATTAATTCTGTGGGAAACTGTCCAACTCATTTAAACTCTGAAATCTAAGGGCATTAAAATAATGGTTTTAAAAAGCATCCAGCAGGACAAACCAGTTTATGCAAAGCCCCACCAAGCCTATGGGGTGGACCTGTTTGGTTTTTTTCTGCCCCCTTCCTGGTCCCTAAAATGTCTTGGCTCCACCCCAGGGGAGGAAGACCAGCATTGGCTAGTCCAGGGGTGGGTGGGTGGGGCCCCTTAACCAGGTTTTTGCCAGTTTTTTGCCCTTATACATCCTCCTCCTGGGAAGGGCGAGATAAGGAGGGGAGGGAGGAATGTGGCACGTTTTCCAATCTGACCAACTCATTGTGAGGGGTGGGTTTTTTGCCACGCCTAGGCATGGAAGCTCGGAGGGAAGTGGCTGCTAGAGAAGTCTTCATTTCACACCTGATGCCCAGAGGATAGACTGTGGCTGCAGAGAGAGGCTCTCTTTCTTTCTTTCTTTCTTTCTTTCTTTCTTTCTTTCTTTCTTTCTTTCTTTCTTTCCAATTTTTTTATTTTTTATTACATACCATTTTAAGTATACATTCACATAATTGTTGTTATTCTTCACATCTTATACATTTATTATTCCATTTAATAGGTTATAACATACAGTTTGGGTTGCTTTATTTACCATCCTTTCCACTTGTTGTAACACCACCTTATTTCCCCTTTCTTTTCTCCCTACCTCCCTTCTCTACTTCCTTCCTTCCTCCTCTCCTTCCCCTTCCTTCTTCCCTTTCTCCTACTCTTTCCCTTCCCCTTCCACCCTCCACTCCTTCTCTTTCTCTCCCTTCCACCCTCCTCTCCTTCCCTCTTTCTTCTTCCCCTCCTCTTCCTCTCATTCAGAGAGGCGCCATTTCAAACTCCGCTGCCTTTCCGCCGCATCAGGAGTCCCCCACGCAGCAGTGACCAAGCAACTCTGCCCCCTCCTCACCCGGCTTTCGCCAGACGCAGCCGGCCGGCTAGCTGCCCGCAGGCGGATCCAGCTAAGTGCCAGGTTAGCTGGCCGCAGCCCGAGAGACGGTGCCCTGAGGCCGGAGCTCCCCTCCGTTGGTTCCCGACTGCCGGGACTCGGAGTGGACGGAGCTGTGCCGGTGGGATGATCCAGGCGCGGCCGGGAAGGAGCCGGGCGGTGGCAGGCGGGGCAGGGGGCGCCACGGCCCTTCGGCTGCCCAGGCGGGATGCCCTCCCCGATGCCCGCCGCTCACCTTGGCCTGGAAGTGGATGCCGTGCTGGAAGGCTTCCTCGTTGTGCAGCGGGAGCCGCGCGTCGGCCGCGTCGTCCACCAGGTTGTAGCGGTTCTGGAGCTTCCCAGGCATCTTGAGGCGGCGGACGGGGCTCCCCAGGGCTTGCTCGGCGCCAGCGCATCGCCGCCCCGGCTCTGCCCTGCCCGGCCAGCCGCTCTGCCGTTCCCGCGCGCCCCGGCAGCGGCGGGCTGTGCTAGGAGGGCGGCGCTCGGCCGGCCAGGAGACAGGGCGAGCCAGGCAGCCGTGGCTCCTCCCGGGGGCCGCCCGTGTGATGCGCCACGTCGGGGCGGAGCGAGGCGGGAAGGGGGAGAAGCAGGCGGACCCCGGGAAGGCGCTAGGGGCGCCCCTTTGCGCCAGTGCGGAGACCCCGGGGCGCGGCGCTGTCCAAGGTACCAACTCAGGGGGTCGTCGCCCCACCCCGGCTGGGGGTCTCAAGGAGAACTAGAGGGGGGGCGGGCAAGATCTCAGCCTCCCCCCATGACCTTTCTGGGGTACATCCTCCCCCCCCCACTCTTTGCCTCTTACAGTGATTTTTTTTTCTAGTGAAATGTTTTAAAAGCAGCTCAAAATTACAGTTAAAATTTCCATTGGAAAATGGAAAAAAATTCCCTTAGAGGGAGGGGTAATTAAAAAAAATAGACTGTGCAGAAATGATCGGATTAACGTTTGGCAATTAAAGAGAAGGAAGAATCAGGGCATTATAAGAGATGGGGAAAACCTTTTTTTAAAAAAAATAAAATTAAAAGAAACTTGCTGCTGGGGAAGAAAGTATGGCAAATCTAGACGGCATCCTAAAAAGCAGAAACATCACCCTGCCAACAAAAGTGTGTATAATCAAGGCTCTGGTTTTCCCAGTTGCAAAGGATGGCTGTGAAGGTGGGACCATAAGGAAGGCTGAGCACCAAAGAATGGAGGCCTTTGAACTCTGGTGCTGGAGAAGAAGACTCCTGCATTGAGTCCCATGGACTGCAAGGCCATCCAACCGGCCGGCCCTAGAGGAGATCAACCCTGGCTGCTCTTTAGAAGGCCAGATCCTGAAGAGGAAACTCAAAGACTTTGGCCACCTGATGAGAAGGAAGAAGGACTCCCTGGAGAACAGCCTCATGCTGGGAATGACGGAGGGCAGAAGAAGAAGAAGGGGACGACAGAGAAGGAGGTGGCTGGATGGAGTCACCGAAGCAGCCGGCGTGAGCTTCAATGGACTCCAGAGGATGGGAGAGGACAGGAAGGCCTGGAGGAACGTGGTCCAGGGGGTCACAACTAACAATCACAAAATTTGCAATTTTTTTCAGACAAGAAGCCTTTTCTGTCAGGATAGGAAGTCAAAAGTAAGTGACCCCCCCTTAATACCACCTGCCCCCCCATGTTGGGGGCCTTAGAGCTCATCCTCTCATCGCTTTTCCCTAGGAATGAACCCAGACTGTGTATCCAGAAGCCCCTCACCCAAGCTTCCCCATTAAACGTGTTTGTCGTAATACAAAAAACTGAGCTCCCGAGTTTGCACATACCTCCGGAGAGTGTTTGTCACTTTGTGGTGGATTGTGTCATAAACCTCAACCTCTCTGACCAGAAGTTCCATTCCTCTTTCCTGTTGTTTCCTCCTTTCATTTCTCAACTCCTTCCTGGGGGGCCTCACTGATGAAAAGGGGGCCTGAAAACGCCCTCACAATTCTGCTAGAAATTTCCCCTCTTGGACCACTTACTTGTAGCTCAATCCTGGGGAGCCAAGAAACACCCAGACCAATTTTGCGTGGAAACTAACATTTCCCCCCTTTTCATTTTAGCCCTTGGAAGTGAAAATTGTCTTGACCAGAGAAGGTTGTTGTTGTTTTCCCATCCAAGCATTTTTCCTTTAATTGTGGGTCTCTTGAGCCTGCATAACCATCCCAGGAAGTATAATATCCTGGCTTATAATTTATAATGACCTATAATTTAAAATACATCACATGTTGTTTATGTTTTCTACAGGTGTGAGACTAAATGTGTTTAGTCTAGTTTAGTTAGATTTAAAAGTTCAGCAGTTCGAATCCCCAGCGCCGCGCAACGGAGTGAGCTCCGGTTACTTGGCTTCCCTTCCCCAGGGAAATGAGGGCTGCTTTTTGAGCCCCAGTAGCCGGCTCTAAGGGGGACACAGTGGATCAGTGGCTAAGCTTGTCGATCAGAAAGGTCGGCAGTTCGAATGCCTAGAGCTGCAGAACCGAGTGAGCTCCCGTGACTTCTCCCAGCTTCTGCCAACTTAGCAGTTCGAAAGGACGTCAAAAATGCAAGTAGAAAAATAGGAACCACCTTTGGTGGGAAGGTAACAGCGTTTCCGTGCACCTTCGGGAGTTCAGTCATGCCGGCCACATGACCACGGAGACGTCTTCAGACAGCGCTGGCTCTTCGGCTTTGAAGCAGAGATGAGCACTGCCCCCTAGAGTCGGGAACGACTAGCACAGATGTGCGAGGGGAACCTTTACCTTTAGATACAATGCCGACACAAAACTATCAGGGGCGGCCTTTGCAAGACACAATTAACCTGCTTTCGGAATTAAGCCAGGCGTGGAATTTGCACCTTTACCACTAATCACGCTTGTTGTGCAAACACAGCTGTGGACTCTTGAACTGACCTGGGGAAGCTGGTTGAAGGCAGCTTAGAGGAAAGGCCAGTTTCACTCTTTTGCCCTCCCTCCAGCCTGATCCTGGTTTCCCCCGGGCAAAACAAGGCCCTGCTTCTTCCCTGCTGTAGAGGCTTTTCCGGGTTCCGGCGTGACCCTCCTTGTCAATTATTGGAGGGCGAGGGAGGGAACGAGAGAGCTGGGGAAGGCCCAGCCGTTTGGGTGTCTGGTTGCGGCTGCAGCACCATCTACAGGTCTTCCCGGCTCCTGTCGGTTGGCAGATAATTCACAGGGATGGTGGGAATATCTTTATTGGTGAATTGAATTTCTCCCTCCTTCGGGTGTGCAAGTGGAAGCCCCCTAAACTAGTGTTTCTCAACCTTGGCAACTTGAAGATGTCTGGACTTCAACTCCCAGAATTCCCCAGCCAGCGAATGCTGGCTGGGGAATTCTGG